CGTGCGTGCGTGCGTGCGTGCGTGCGTGCGTGCGTGCGTGCGTGCGTGCGTGCGTGCGTGCGTGCGTGCGTGCGTGCGTGCGTGCGTGCGTGCGTGCGTGCGTGCGTGCGTGCGTGCGTGCGTGCGTGCGTGCGTGCGTGCGTGCGTGCGTGCGTGCGTGCGTGCGTGCGTGCGTGCGTGCGATTAAATTATATTGAAAATTTATGTTGAATTAACGTTGGAAAATGGAATTTCCTGCCTGTCGATTGAGACCTGTGAATGACGTGAAAAATCTAGGAAGGGACCTAGTGAGTGAATGAATTGACCCAGATCCAGGTTGCGTTGTGCGGATTAAGCGTTCCTCCCGTTTTTGGGGATTTCTGTTTGTGTTTAATCATATATCGGGCGATTAAATTAAATAATACACGTGTCTTTCTCGCAAAAGAGAATGGAAGCGGTGAATAATTAATTTGGACGTAACCTTGGCATTGTATTTGACAATTTAATTTTTGGTAATTAAATATTCGTATATCAATGTATCGTGTTTGAATACAAATTAGATTTTTACTGAATTTATATGGAGATTTAATTAATATGTGCTATGTTTGAATACAAATTGGATTTTTATAGAATTTATATGAAGATTTGATCAATACAAAATCTATTTCAGATTGAAATCGTAAGCATCTCAATATTTGTATAGTTTTTTTTTTTTTTTATTAACCAATGTCAACTAGCTTTCAATATTTCAAAAGAAAATATATTTCTACTTGGAAATATGGTATTTCTTATCGCATAGATTTATGTACTCGTTAAAAGCGAACGTTGTATCGCGTATAAAGAACCACAAGATTAGTTTTAATAATTAAATTCCGTTTAGGAGTTCTCCATTCAGAGGCCATTCCCGAATACATTTCCGATGTGTTGTAATTATCGACTCAGAGATCCTCGATAAATACTTTCCTCCAGTGAAACCCGTTCTGGCACACTTGCTTTTGCTCGCGATTCGAATTCGGAGAAAGTGAGTCTGGAGGAGCTCATAACATTTCATCGTTGAATCAAGACACACACACACACACACACATATACGCACACATATACACGTTATAATACAATGGCGTAATTATTTTATTTCCGCAAGGAAAAACACGGGTTTCTCGAGTACGGGCTTCTTCGAACTGCAACAATATTTATGAATCTCAAAATCGTTTCATCAATGAGACAAAATTCTTCGTGAGAGATCACGTAATGGAAATTCTACGCGATTCGCAAGACGATGATATTTGAGAACCACTGTTGCCTGATAAAGAGGTATTATTTTGCATCGTTATCGAAAGAACCATACGCCGTACACATACTTAAGGGTCAAAGTAGCAGACCTGTTGGCTATCTTGGCCAGATAAACGCAAAAAACAGTTGGCGAGTCGTTGCACGGACAAAGAAAGAAGATTTAACATTAATCATCCTGACGCAATCGTCTCCAAATATTTCAAAAAAACTCTAAAACCGAAACGTTCCCGAAGTATCAAAACAAACATTTGAAGAAAATTAATTCTTGTTATCGCAATCATATGTATTTTTTTCTGGCAATAAATAATCTTATCAAACTTTAATTTTTCCTCCAATCCAATCGAGACGCAGATCTCTCAGGGCAGAGATTTTCATACAGATTTATATACGGGTCTCTATATACATCTTATATTTATATTAAAAAATATTAAAAATACCTGATGACATCGATGCTTTTTTTCAAAATGAACTTAGAAATATCGAGAATAACAAACTCGAACGACTGATGCCTAATATCATGTGCGATCGAGGAAGCTTATGTATCGATAGGGACATATTTACAAATACGAGCCAACGATTATTGCTGAACGTAACACGGTTGAACAACACGAACTGGAAAAGAGTCCCTAGCAAAAATATTATCTGCGATTTTATCGGTATAACATCCACAGCTGTACAATCTAATCGCGACGTATATTGAATATCTTTGAACTAACGTCGTTATCGGAAGCTGTGCTGGAAATCTACTGGGAAAAGTAGCGAGATTGGATTTTATTTTGCAAAATTTTGATTTGATTTTTCTGTATGTCAATATCGGTTGAGAATTCAACGAAATTAGTCGAAAGCTCAATCGGATTTATGCAAAAAAACTTTCAATCGGCCAAAACGTATCGACGTTAATAAATCAAAGATATGCCTTGATTAGTCACACACGCTTTGTAATATCAGTTTTGACATATAAATCGTGATCGCTATTGGACTCTCGGAATAGTTATTAGATGACACAGCAATTGGCACGATACGCAAAACGTTACGCGAGACGGTTTTTGTCCGTTTTTGTTACAAGTTACATCAGGTTCAACGTTTTGGATAGATTGTAATATAAAATGGTTTTTTGGATGTTTACTTAAATCTTATTAAAAAAATTTCCTTAAAAAGTTTCGAATTCTTTAACTATTTTCATTCAAAATTAGAGCCAGATGAAATTAGAGAATTTTTAAATAAGAACTTTGTAAAAGATAAATTTATTAGGAATATTTTATTTAATATTATCTAATCACAAAGAAAAATCATTTCATTCGGATATACACGCTTTAAGCTGATCATTGATAAGAAAACAAAGTGACAGAATTTTTTTCATAAAAACTCATGAGTCATATGCAAATGTGCAGACAGTATATATAAATGAGTAAATTTAATTGCTATCAACCAATTATTTATAAAAGTGGGAAGATTTAAATAAGATTTAAGGGCAAAATAAAAAAATGTCTTATGGCCTCCAAAAATTCCATATTCAAGAATAAATTATTAGAAAATTCTAAATTTGATTTTTTTCAGAATTGACATTCTATCTGAAATATTACATAAACCAATAAATAAACACGAAGAATATAGACACGAGCGTTAAATAGAATGTTGCGTTATATTCTGCAATCAAGTTTCTCATGGTCAAATGTTCAAATGATTCAAATGTTAGATAAGGTAAGACAAAAAATTAATTATGACTTATCTAATTATCTTAAAGTGTAATTTTTCAGCTAAAAATATAAGAATTAACAAAATATGTAATCAATAACAAAGTAATAAAGAGGCAAAGTAAATTCAATAGGCTTCTCTAAAGCTCTTGAATTTAGAATGAGAGTTTTAAATAAAAATCGTTCTGTAAATAAAAATTTAATCTTAAGATTCCTTAAACAAATATTATATCATTGAGTCCAGTCATTAAAAAAATATGGAGTAAAAATTTAAAAATAGGAAACACTTTGGGTATTTAATAAAATCCTAATGTTTCTTCTAATGTCATACCACTAATTAAAAATTAATAAAAGTTTTAGGCAGTTAGTGAACTCCTAATGTTAGTTTCCAATTTTTATTATATATACTATTTATTCAAGAATTTTCGAGAAGAATACACATAATATGTGTCTGACACAATAACTGGAAAACATTCAATAACAATAGTTGGCGACGTGCCATACCTAAAACAACTTTCTCTTGCATTTGATTACAAAATGTCACAATATCAACGCGAGCAATGGAATGTTTAGTAAAGCTTTCTGCTCATAAAACAAATTGCTCATTCCCTCGTTATAAAAATAAAAAATACTATGCCATAAATTTCATGTTACGACCATGTATACGCATCAGAATGCAGGGATTCTGATTGGAGAAGTACCTGCTAAAATAGATTTGCTTATTTTTTTTATTGCGCTTCCTACACTTTGCTCTCTTTTAATATATCCCTCTCATTCTCGAAAGTACAGAAAGACACTGCCTGACTATGCGATAGACTCATAAAAAATTAAAATAAAATTATATGTTTAAGATCCGATTATATTAACAATATTTTAATCTAAAGTGAGATTTAAAAGTTTAAATTTGTTACTAAAAGTGAAAACCTAAAGTGTACAATGAAAGAATTCGCATCAATTTTAATAAGATAAATGTAAATTAAAGCATTTTAGGTATCGCTTTTGGTTTAGCAAATTTAAGGATATATTACATCTATTTTTAAAATTTACAAAAAAATTATGAAAAACTTAGATTATTCTAAATTGCATTTAAAAATATAAAAAGATTTAGCAAAGGTTTAAACCTTTGCTAAATCAAAAACCTAAAACGTAAATAAAAAATTATTTAAATAAATAGAAGTATATTTTAATGAAAATGTAATTAATAAATAATGACAAAAATCTTAATGTTTTTATATAAATACTTCGAGTATTAAGATTATTTACGTAATGTTTCATTGCGATGTAAAGTCGTTCTGTAAATAAAAATTTTATTTTATTTATACCACTACTCATTTTGTTTGTACTCTTAATAGAAATATAATTTTCATTTACAAAACAACTAATTTCTGCATCACAATGAAACTTTACATAAATCATCTTGAATATTTAAAGTGCTTGTATAAAAAAAAAAAGAGATTTTTTTGGTCGTTATGTCTTAATTACATTTCTATTAAAGCATATTTCTGTTTTACATTTAATTTTTAATCCAGATTCTAAACCGCTGCAAATTTTTTGTATTATTTTTAGATATACAAACTAGAATAATCTATAATTTTTCATTGTAAATAAAAATTGATGTCATATATCCTTACAGTATTATGTGTTTCAATTAAAATCAAAATAACATCGGGATGCAACCGGGCTCAAGACATACAAAAAGACCTGCTTGCTCTTTTTCCTTTTTCATCCTCCGAAAAGTTGAAGCGATTCTTCTCAGCCGTCCAATTCTGTTTTCGAAATTTGTCTATTTCCATGGAATTTTCTATGAAGGTAGGCGTGTATCTACATGACGTATTTCCTATTTCTGTGTCGAGTCTAGAAGTAAGGGCACAGCTGAAAATAGCAAGTCCGAGGAAGGCGTGGACTTGAGGATCCACGCCGGGTCGAACCGGCTTTAGCGAAGCTCGTTTTCTCCGTGCTGACGGTGACACGTACGCGATTCGTCGCTGTTGCAGATGACGGAGGAAGAGGGGAAGGGATCATGCTCATTTCCGCAGAAGAGCGAGGGTTCCATGGCTCGATTGCCTGCTTGCTCGCTCGTTCGCTCACACGACGCACGCATGCACGCATGCACGTACGCATGCACGCCTCATGCCGTGCCGTCCAAAATGGCTGATCGCTAAAATTAGCGAGCGAACGAACGAACGAATGAACGAACGAACGAACGAACGAGCGAGCGAGCGAGCGAGCGAGCGAAGAAAACGAACAGAGAGAAAGAGGTTATGGCGTCAGAAGAAAAAAATAATTGGCAAGTCGATCAGCTCCAATTGATACCGAAGCGATATCAATTGGACCGCCGAGTCAAGTGTCATCTTGGACATTATCGTTTAAAAAAAAAAAAAAAAAAAAAAAGAAAGTTCATCGAAAGCGCAAGGCCAGGACTTACCTCGTTGTCGAAGTAAAGTCATATAAAATGGTATCGCCCTGCTGGACGGCCGCTTTCTAGCGTGAAAATCTTCCGCTCGGGAGAGCCGAGATTCGAAGACAGATGGATCGCCCTCCTGCTCGGGAGCGGCCCGATACGAGTCGTGATACGAGGATCCGCGTTGATTGACGAGTCGAGCCGCGAGGAGCCTCGCGCGAGAAAAAGAGCGAGAGGGAGATAAGGATAGAGCTTCGGCCTTCTGGTGCTCTACGTCCTCGTTCTTGCTTGCCCTCCGGCGCCGTAGACGGACCGAGTTGGCGGAATTCACGCTGCTGACAATGCTCGCGGAATTGCGTGGAGATCGGCGATTCGCGATCGATCAAAAGCCACAAGGAAAATGTGCTACATCAACATTCACTCGGGAATACCACAGGTCACACTCGCTGCGCGATGGCTACTGCCTGAACGTGGCCACGAGCGCACCGAGCGCCACAAAAGCGCAGTTTACTTCGCAACGATGGTACCTCGTGTTATTCTACGAGGTACCGAGGTTCGTCGGTAAGTGACAACGTCGTTGCGGTCGCGTTGAGTTTCGCGCAACACAATGGTGGAACAAGAATAGAAATTAACAGGAACGGGAATAAATAATTAAATTTTGGAAATAAAAATTAGGCATAGAGAGATTAAATGTAATGCACAATAAAACAACTTAGATAGTCATATCTTTATATTTACGTACATCGATTTGGCGCAAAATTGTGTATTCTTGTTCTTAATTTTGATTCCTGTGATTTCTCCCATTGTGCGCAAAGATAATAGATTAGTGATAATAGACATTTCGATCTTCGTACGACAGCTCTGAAGTATTTTGTGCGTTGACATTTTTTGAAATTTTATTATAAAAATAATGTCTGACTGAAAGAGAATTTTTTTTTAAAAATATTTCTATCAAGGAAGGCTTCTATGTATTTAAATCTCAGATATTCTCATATATGTGAAACTTTTTATTTTTATCCGAAAATCTAAATCCGCGATGTTGTATTATTTGAATTATTCGAATATCCAAATTTGAATACTTGAATTCAGAATCGCGATCGAAATTAAGATGTTGGTAATTTATCGACGTTTTAATTATAAAAATGATTAAAAAGTATCAACATTATCGATCGTTGTCATTTGAAATATTTTTATAAATATTTTTACATAAATATTTTTATCAAAATATTAACTTACAATGCAATATTAAATTCATTTATTTATTATTATTTTTCTTGATTTATAATAATATAAATGCAATAAATGCAGTTTTTTTTAAATAAAAATCAGCTATTGAATCTTAAAATAAAATACCAAAATAATAATGAATCAGAATAAAATGAATTATGAATTAATCGCCACACGACTTTTATAAATTTTTATAAGATTATGATCTTTAGTATAGACAGTATCTATATTTCCTACCTTGTCATAGGCAGTATTGATTCTTACTGTGTGCTGTATACTGTAAGTAAAATTTTATGATTTTACATAATTTCTCGATAAAATAAATAATAATGAAATATTTTGTTCATTCTCAAATGAATAGAGCAGATTAATTCCATTGATTCGTCTTATTTTTGCGTTCGTCACGATCACGTTGGATTTAACCTCAAATTGAAGCAGTTGCACACAGTTGCACACAGTTGCACAAGTATCAAGAGACACGAATAGTGAACGTCGCCAAAGTGCATAAAATACAGGAAACGAATAAATCTTAGATTTCTGAAAGAAATGAAAAGTACATTGACGATGTTCAGAAGCGCGCGGATCAGCGAATTCACCACGACATTTCGCACATTGTACAGGAATTATTACACCACGGAGAAAATATTGGAACGTGAAAACACGGAAACGAAAGAGATCCATCCGTACCGCCGAATCCATCCGTGGAAATCGGAGCGTGAATTTGTAGATGATTTGCTGAAGAATGTTATTTATAATGCAGGTAGAAAAATTAGTCTATGTTTAAGATTGATTAAATATATTTGTATTTTTTAGAAACATTTTTAGAAACACCTATCATGTAATATTTTTTCAATATTTATTAAAATTAATGGATTTATTATTGCTTGGTCAACTTGTGGATATTAGTATTTTTTTATATAATGAGTTAACTTTTAATAACTTTTTTTATGACTATTGAATGTTATTTATTTGAATTAATATATAATTAGAAAATGTTAATCTATAATTCTATAAGAATAGATTATCTATACATTTTTAATTATCAAAGTTGATTTTTTAACATAT